AACATGTTAATTTAGTGGAGACTGCATTTTTCCTTGTTACCCTAATAGTTGAGCAATTTTATCAAGATGTCCTTTTCGCCCAAGACTGCAAAACTTGGACATTATTCGGGAACCAAGCAGAAAAGTCAAGAATGATTTCAACTTCACGCAATGACAAAAGAAATAATAAGAGGTCAAATCATAACGATTTCCACCAATAAATGTGGGGGCTTAAATCCCTAGAAAATTTAAGTTAGTAGGACAATGACTCATTTGGTCCCCAAACTTCACTTCATGCCTATCTATTTTCATATTAATAGCATAGCACGTCAACAGCTTGCAATGGTTCTTTTATTTATCTCTATATTTATGTAGTTATCTTTTTCATGATGATGAATCCCAATTTAGATAAATGATGATTGGGCTCATTATATTTTTTTGCTGGTCTTGCGGATTAGATAAGATGCAAAGCAAAAGTTTAGCCGGCTCTATGGATGATTCAAGCATGACTATTATTTACACATTGATAGTATAGCCCGTAAGACAAATCAAACACATTGTGTGCTTAATTTATATATATATACACATATTTATATCCGCAAGTCTATTCAAAATGAAAGTTAATTATTCCACCGGCCATGGAGGTTTGGCATGGCAGGATACTTAATTAATAGGTAATAGTAGCAACCACTTGGAGAATTTAATAGGAGAAGCACAAGGACACCAAATATCGAAGGCGCATAGCACCAAATATTATAAACGCCAAGTTGACCAAAAGAAGAGAAGACTCGTTCCCAAGGGCAGAACAGTGAACACACATGGGAGGGGTGAAGGTGAAGGTGAAGGTGAAGGTGATCATCTATATATTGTATGCAAATACATCGAGCTTAAGCATATCGATACTTCGTGGAGAGAGAGAAAGAAAAGCAAGACCATAATAGAGAGAAGGAGATGAGCAGCTCCCAAGTGATAACATGCAAAGGAGTGGTGTGCTGGGGAGCGGAGGAGGAATGGACAGTGGATGAGATACAAGTGGATCCCCCCAAGGGGAGCGAAGTGAGGATGAAGATGTTGTTTGCCAGTGTTTGCCACACGGACGTCTTATGCTCCCGGGGTTTCCCTTTCGTTAGTTCACTCCTCTCTCTACTCTATCCTCTTCTTTCCTTTTCTGTTCTGTCATATAATTTACTCTTCTCCAATTTGTTGGCGTTGCAGCCGCTTTACCCTCGAGTTCTTGGCCATGAAGGTGTTGGGTAAAGTCTTCTCTCTCTCTCTCCCAACTTTGTGACTCCATGCAAGATCTGATCCGCTGCTTAATTTGGTTCCCCCTAATTATTCCCTATTAGATATGTCAGTGAGGAGTTGCATTCCTTCATTACTTTTTGGCGGGGCCTTGTATGTATGATCATAAGTTGAGACATACTGTTAATGAACGTCAAGACAACCATCTGGTTCGATTCCCAAGTTCTGCTTCTCCCCAAGAACAGCATCCATCATTCATAGTCATACTCCATATATGGCTGAATGGCTCTAGCTATAGCTAGCCCAGGCACTTTATATCTCTCATTTTATGAACATCCCCATTTACCTGCTTTGCAAGGAGTGTACTCCCGTATCGCAACTGTTCTACCAATCACCCCAATTTGATATAATTAGCATTATGTTATCCTCCGGTCAGTTTCCACAAAGTAGTGCTCACATAGTAAGTAACTTTACCCACAAACTACAAATCCTACCAGTGTCTTGTGATCCACGGCCAGCCAACACCACTCTTAGCTGCCCCCACTGCTGGCGTTCGCGGTCCATCGTTGATGAGAGTAAAAAGAATAGCCTACTTCACATTCCAATTTGTTTCATCAATGAATCTGACTTTTCACAAAGCCAATCGCCAAGCATGAGCTGTCTTCTTAGCTATAGCTGCAATTCACTAGCTCGAGACTTCCATCACCCATCTCCGCCTCAGGTTCCTCAAGAAATTATTAGATCGTCCGTGGCCATGGATGAGCTTATCAAGCCTCTAATGGGTTTGATGGTGGCTTGGCCAGCAAGAAGGCAACATCTGTGATGGCCTGGTCAGCAACGGTTGAACAAAGAGAGCGTGATTGTCTGGCTAAGATTTTTCTGGCGTTCAAAATAGATTAAACTCAAATGTTGATGGAAAACATGTAAATTAACCCTCACAGATACACCCCCTGATTGTTAAGTAGGAATATAGTTACTCTTCAAAGCATTTCATCAGCATAAGGTACAATTGCTCTCAACATATGCACGTCCAGTGCTGTCTATGTATATATATGTGATTGACAGGGGAAAATGGCAGGATTGTGGAAAGTGTTGGAGACGAAGTAAAAGAGTTGAAGAAAGGAGATGTGGTCATTCCCATCTTTGTTGGGGAATGCGGAGACTGTGAGAACTGCAACTCGGAGAAGACAAACTTATGCCTTTGTCATCCGCTCTCTTTTAATGGCGTGTTGCCGGATGGCACGTCAAGAATGTCCATCCGAGGCCAGACCCTGTACCACCTCCTCTCTTGCTCCACCTGGTCCGAGTACACAGTGTCCGACGCCAATTATGTTGTGAAGGTTGACCCAGATGTAGCTCTCCCGCATGCTAGCTTCTTGTCATGTGGATTCTCCACTGGGTTTGGGGCTGCTTGGATGGAGTCTAAGGTCGAGAGTGGCTCCTCCGTGGCTGTGATTGGCCTCGGTGCTGTTGGACTCGGGGTATGTGGTTGGTTGGTTATGTTACTAGCTTACGTGTGCACTATATAAATGCTGTTTGAGAGAATTAACTAGAAGGAGAGAGAGAAAGCACGGTAAATAGTTCAGTCGATTTGATAATGAGCAGGCCATACAAGGAGCAAGAGTGCAAGGGGCGACTACCATAATCGGCGTGGACAAAAACGGGATGAAAAAGGACAAGGGAGAAGCCTTTGGAATGACTCATTTCATAAATCCAGACGATCAACGGTCCTCCGATAATGCGGATGTGAAAGCCATCTCCGAAATGGTCAAAGACTTGACGGGTGGAGTCGGCGTGGACTACTGCTTTGAATGCACTGGAGTACCTGACTTGATCAACCAGGCACTAGAAGCCACTAAAGTGGTGATGAATCTATATCGTCACATTATCCATCAAAATATAATGCGCGCTTGAACCCTCACACACAGCAAAACTCCATCTTTCAGGTCTCATATGTATATATTTTATGTGGTCAGGGAAAAGGCAAAGCAGTGGTAGTGGGTGCAGGGCTGGACCCTTTCGTGCAAATTAGTTTCCTCAATCTGTTGCTGGGGAGAACATTGAAGGGAACCATTTTTGGGGGCCTCAAAAGCAAGACCCACCTCCCCCTCCTCCTCCACAAATCCAAAACTAAGGTTCTGATCAGCTTTTTCATTCCACCACACCAATTGCAGAGTCAAGGCACACAACCACTGAATTTGCTTGCTTTTGTTCCGCAGGAGATCCAACTTGATGAACTTCTAACCCATGAGATAAAATTGGAAGATGCATCGAAAGCTCTTGAGATACTGAAGCAGTCAAATTGCGTCAAGATTTTGATCAAGATTTAACGCCCCATTTGCCTATTGCCTCCTCCCTTTTCTTTCTCGAACTTGTCCAGTGTGATATTGACCTTGCTTTGTGTACTTTTGCTCTTGTGAAATTCCAATAATATATAATCAATCGTTTGACCCAACAAATTGTGACGAAGGACTACCAGAAGCACATTCACTTTAGAATTTCTCAATTGTCCCTTCTTCGCTTCACTTCACTTCTATTTTATGCAGTTAAGAAATCAACTTCCAATATTAAATCAACCTAGTATGCAACATGATGCAGTAAGAAATAGCAAACACCTTTAGATCTATACAAACGGCCCGTTGAGAGAGAGAGAGAGATGCATGGCATTGATCTCCGTTTAATTAGGGGTTGACTCTCTCAAATTTTGAATTCAATGAGGATCCTTTTATGATGTGGTTAATGTCCGTTAATTTTCTTCCGAACTTGTTAAATGATAGTACGGAAAAATTTCCTGTGGCACGTTGAGCAAGTTCACGGGACCCTAATTTTATAATAGCAGAAACTCTACTCAACTCATTTCCCTACCCCAACCTATTGAGGATGCTGTGTCATAAAATATGATGTTTATTTGGTCCGACAATTTATTTGTAAGAAGACGGTGTTATGAATTAATAGCTCCCTTAAAAGCTATAAATAACTTTTTCACATTGTATCCTACTTTATACCACTATTGTTTCGCATCATTATTGGATTCGATTGCATCCCAAATATTAAAATTATCGTTCCTAATTTAACAGAACATGTGGATGAGACAAATACTAATCTATAATCTCGATTCTTAATAGTAATGTTTAAACGAGTGTGGCATAAACAAACACTCAATAATAGAACATGTTAATTCCCCGGAGACCTTTCATTGCAATTTTTACCATTATTTAATAGTCGAGCAATTTATCACGATGTCCTTTTCCAACACGACTGCAAAACTTGGACATTATTGGTGAATTAGCTGAGGGCTTTGTCCTCGTTTGAGTGACTTCTCTAATCGTGGTGGATGGAGACCCCAAAAAAACAAAAGTCAGAAAACTTCAAGCAAAGGATAAGCGATGGATGGTTAGAAGAAAAAGCAAGGTCTAATCAGATCAACTGTCGGATAAGGACATATTTGGTCCACTAACATTTACTTTACGCCTGCCTGTTTTCATATTAGATTGAATGAGTAGTATTGTCATCAAACGTGTTCTGCGCTTGCTCTATATGTGTATTCACAAGTCTGTCTATCATGAAATTCAATGATTCCACTGGGCATAGAAATATGGTATGTACGGCAGGATAGTTAATTAACAGGTAATAGTAACAACAGATTGGAGAATTTAACAGAAGCACGAGGATACATAATTTGAAAGGCGCATACGACCAACATTATAAAATACACGTCGACCAAAAGAAGAGAAGACTCGTTCCCCAGTGCAAAACAGTGAACACATATGGACTGGTGAAGGTGAAGGTGATTATCTATATATTTATGTATAGACATCCAGTTTAAGCATATTGATACTTTGTGCTGAGAGAAAAAGAAAAGCAAGACCATAATAGAGAGAAGGAGATGAGCAGCTCACAAGTGATAACATGCAAAGGAGTGGTGTGCTGGGGAGCAGAGGAGGAATGGAAAGTGGAGGAGATTCAAGTGGATCCCCCCAAGGGGAGTGAAGTGAGGCTGAAGATGTTGTTTGCCAGTGTTTGCCACACGGATGTCATATGCTCCCAGGGTTTCCCTTTTGTTAGTTCACTTCTCTCTCTACTCTACTCTCTCCTCTTCTTTACTTTTTTTTTTCTGTCATGTAATTTACTCTTCTCCAATTTGTTGGCGTTGCAGCCGGTTTACCCTCGAGTTCTTGGCCATGAAGGTGTTGGGTAAAATCTTCTCACTCTTCCAATGTTGCGTCTGCATGCCAAGTCTGGTCCACTGCTTAATTTGATTACCCCTAACTATTCCCTGTTAGACATGTCAGTGAGGAGTTGCATTCCTTTATTATTTTTTGGCTGGGCCTTGTATGTATGATCATAACTTGTGACTTACTCTAAATGAATATTAAGACAACCATCGTGATCGACTCCCAAGTTCTGCTTCTCCCCAAGAGCAGCATCCATCTCATTCATGCTCCAAATATGGCTGGATGCCTCTAGCTATAGCTAGCCCAGGCACTTGATATCTCTCATTCTTTGAACATCTCCATTCACCTACTTCGCAACAAGTGTTCTCCCACATCGCAAATGTTCTAACAGTCACCCGATATGGATTACTGCACTTTATTCATTAGGATTATGTTTTCCTCCGGTCAGTCTAGATAAAGCTATGCTCACATAATAAGTAACTTTACCCACAAGCTACAAATCCAACAAGTGTCTTGTGTGATCCACGGCCAGCCGCCACCACTCTTAGCTGCCTCCCCTGCCGGCATCTATGGGCCATTGTTGATGAGAGGAAAAAGAATAGCCAACTTCAGATGGCAAATTGTTTCGTCAATAAATCTGACTCTTCACAAAACTAATCACCAAGCATGAGCTCTCTTCTTGGCTATAGCTGCAATTTTCTAGCTCCCAACACCCATCTCCGCCTAAGGTTCCTCAAGAAGTTATAAGATCGTCTATGATCAAGCTTCTAATGGGTTTGATAGTGGCTTGGCCCGCGAGAAGGCAACATTTGTGGTGGCCTGGTCAGCAACAGTTGAACATTGGGTTTGAAAAGGGAGCGTGTTTGTCTGGCTAAGGTTTTTCCGGCGTTTAAAATAGATTGATGGAAAAATGAACTCGAGAATGACTACACCTAGGCGGGAGGATAACGTCCATGGCCGATACGATTATATTATTAAGCCTCACAGAAACACCCCTTGATTGTTAAGTTGGAGTATAGTTATTAGTTACTCATCAAAGCATCTAACCAGCATAAGATACAGTTGCTCTCAACATTGGCACATCCAGTGCTGTATATATATGTGTGCGTGTCATGTAATTGACAGGGGAAAATGGCAGGATCGTGGAGAGTGTTGGAGAGGAAGCAAAAGAGTGGAAGAAAGGAGATGTGGTTATTCCCCTCTTTTTAGGAGAATGCGGAGAGTGTGAGAACTGCAACTCAGAGAAGACAAACTTATGCCTCCGTCATCCGCTCTCATTTAATGGCGTGTTGCCGGATGGCACGTCGAGAATGTCCATCCGAGGCCAGACCCTGTACCACCTCCTCTCTTGCTCCACCTGGTCCGAGTACACAGTGTCTGACGCCAATTATGTTTTGAAGGTTGACCCAGATGTAGCTCTCCCGCATGCTAGTTTCTTGTCGTGCGGATTCTCCACTGGGTTTGGGGCTGCTTGGATGGACTCTAAGGTCGAGAGTGGATCCTCCGTGGCTGTGATCGGCCTCGGTGCTGTTGGACTCGGGGTATGTGGTTGGTTGGTTGGTTGTGTTACTAGCTTACATGTGCACTATATAAATGCTGTTTTGAGAAATCAGTTAGAAAGAGAAAGCACGGTAAATACTTCAGTTGATTTGATGATGAGCAGGCCATACAAGGAGCAAGAGTGCAAGGGGCGAGTACCATAATCGGCGTGGACAAAAACGGGATGAAAAAGGATAAGGGAGAAGCCTTTGGAATGACTCATTTCATTAATCCAGATGATCAACAGTCCTACGATAATGCAGATTCGAAATCCATCTCCGAAATGGTCAAAGACTTGACTGGCGGAGTCGGCGTGGACTACTGCTTTGAGTGCACTGGAGTAACTGACTTGATCGACCAGGCCCTAGAAGCCACTAAAGTGGTGATGAATCCATATCATCATATTATCTATTAAAATATGATGTGCGATCGCGCCCTTTCACACACAACAAAACTCCATCTTTCAAGTCTCATGTATATATTTTATGTGGTTAGGGAAAAGGCAAAGCACTGGTGGTGGGTGAGGGGTTGAACCCTTTTGTGCAGATTACTTTCCTGAATCTGTTGATGGGGAGAACATTGAAAGGAACCATTTTTGGAGGCCTCAAAAGCAAGACCCACCTCCCCCTCCTCCTCCACAAATCCAAAACCAAGGTTTTAGACTGCTTTTCATGCCACACCAATTCAGACTCAGACGCCCACAGCCACTGAATTTGCTTGCTTTATCTCCACAGGAAATCCAACTTGATGAACTTCTGACCCACGAGATGAAATTGGAAGACGTGCCAAAAGCTCTTGAGATACTGAAGCAATCAAATTGCGTCAAGATTTTAATCAAGATTTGACGCCCCATTTGTCTTTGCCTCCTCCCCTTTCTTTCTTGAATTTGTCCTGTACGATATTGACCCTGGTATGTGTACTTTTGCTCTTGCGAAATTCCAATAATATATAATCAATCGATGGACCCAACAGATTGTGACAAAGAACTACCAGAAGCATATATAATCTACAACTTCTCAATTTTTCCTTCTTCGCTTCACTTCTATTTTGTGCAGTCAAGGCAACTTTCAATATTAACTCAACCTAGTATTCAACATGTTGCGGTAAGAAAAAGAAAACACCTTGAGATCTTTACAAACTGCCCATTGAGAGAGAGAGAGAGAGAGAGATGCATGGCATTTTTCTCCGGTTTATTAGGGGTTGATTCCCTCAAATTTTGAATTCCGTGAGGATCCCCCTTATGATGCGGCTAATGTCCCTTAATTTTCTTCGAGACTTGTTAAATGATAGTACAGAAAAATTTGCAGTAGCACATAGAGCAAGTACACGGTACCCTAATTTTTTAAAAGCAGAAACTCTACCCAACTCATTTCCCAACCCCAACCATTGAGGATGCTCCGTCGTCAAATATGATGTATAACCAACTTACGCTACACACTCAATCATCTTCAGGTTTGCTGCACATCTTGCATTAGTTGCCCTTAGTCAACCTCCAGAAGTTTACTTAATTTTTACCCGTTCTTTGAAATATGCATCCTCATTGAAACTTGCAATCGAAAGAATCTTTTACAAGTTACCAGGATATTCTAATCAAACGCATCAAAGCTGAAGCCTGAGAGACAAGTACGACTTCAAGTTTAAGCTATAACAGTAGAACCCTGATCACTTCGAATCACACCCCACAACCACAGAAACCAGAAGACAACCAACCCTATCACGATGAATCCAACTTTTCTTGAAGTTCAACGTCCACGACGAGTAATCTTAGTCTGCTAATTGGTAATCCCCAAACTCCCAACATTTATCCTGGATCGAGGTTTCCAGTTTGCCAACTTTTTGCTCCATGCTGTTCGTTGAGTTCATCAGACATTCCGCAGATAAGAGACTGCACATTTAAAAATGTGACAAGTGAGTTTCAAAGAAGCTGAGGGAACTCCTCTGTGACCTCATTTGCAATCCTCTCCAAATTCCCATTCACCAAAATTCTTGGCCATTGCCTTCGAGCACAAACAATCTACATTTCTTTCTTTGATTACCAGGACAAATAAAATAAGATGCTATACCAGAGCAGTATCAGTGTTACACAAGAATCAAATAGGATTTGGCACCTCGAAGGCAGATAAATTGATTAAATGGCCACAAATTGGAAAGCATCACTCAGCAGATAAGTCATAAGAGCTCCGCAAACCTGAACCATAAATTATATTCACCACGACCACAACAATGAGCATCATATGATTGTGAATCTCTTTGCACAAGCCCACGAAACAGGTGAACTATCAATCTGACTTTCTTGGCCATCCAAAGCAGTGATTCCTCATTGTAAAAATTTAATCAATCTTTTGCTATTAGGCAATTCTTCCATAGTCTTTTCTTCCACGAGTTGTTGGAGGTATGCTTGTGAAAGCATCACTGGCCCTTCGCCCTACATCAACATTCCGGTCTTCATAAGAAAGGATTAACCTAACCCCCTTTACTTTCCCCCACAAAGATACAAAACTATTTGATTCTGCCACTTAGGAGCAATGGCAATAAATCTAGAGTATTAAATTCAGAGAGTACCCCATGACATGCCATTGATGAAAGAGCTGTTTCCATGAGGATGTGGGCCCCCATTGCTGAAGCTTGAAGCAGGAGCCTGCGTCTTGTTATAATTCCACTCGTTCCCACGCCCAGAGGTTGCTCTTCCATAATATAGTCGCTGTGCAGGTTGCTGCCCCAAACGGCTCAAAGAATTATGAGAGGGCTGCGGTATAAAATGGGAAGGGTTTGACAAGCCACGTATTTGTCCAAAATACTGATCATGAGATGGAGGTTTGCCTGGCTCTACGTGTATAAATGATTGAGCAGGACCGTGTTGTCTGTAGTACACAGAAGAATAAGTAAGCAAATGTCTTCTTATTGCATGTGTGCATGCATGCGTCCATGAATAAAAGAACAGAAAGAATTCTTTTCCATAGGTTAACCAACACTAAAAGCGGAAACACAAACTTCCCATGTAATAGATTAAATGCAGATAACATTCCATTCCCCAGAGAATTAGCAAGGAAAGAGATTTGGGTACCTTATGAATGAATTTGTACTTGATTGGGGGACGTTGGTAGACCTCCTGACACCTACTAATGATTCTGCAGAACTGAGATGCATCACTTTCCCAAACTCAGTGGCTAGGCAACTTTTATCTGACGATTCTTCTTCCACTTCTTCCAGTAGTAGTTCATCGCTGAGGCCAGAGATAGCAAATTAAATGTAACTCAAGAAATGCAGCCGCGTATCCATATGTGCAATGGGAAAAGATTTCCCACTGAACAAACGTTAAGCAATTCGAAAGTCTTGAGCAGACGCTAAGAACTAAAATCTACAATTTTGTGAGAAAGAGACTGCCATCTACAGACTAGAGCAAAGAGGATAAGCTACTAAAATCATCAATAACTCTGTAACTAATAAACTGGAATAATTAGTGTACAGATAAAGATAAATTCAAATAAAACCAAAATTCTAGTTAATTTGGATTTTGGTCAAGAAAAGGCTTGCTATTTTCATTCTATGAAACTGGTCATTGGTTTAGGTTATGTGATCTAGAAATCATGATAAAATTACTTTTTTATAACATGGGCATGACCGCAGAGGCCAAGCTACCTTGATACTTACACATAAATTTTAGATAGCTATGGTTTGAAGTCTATCATGTGTCATAGCCAAAAATAAAAAGTTCAATTTATTGCCATTATATCATTTCACTCGTAGATTCATAACCAGAATTCAGTAAATCTAAGATTTTTTAATGAAACCCAAATAACTGAAAAATTCTCCAATTCGTTCTCCCTTCTCACCCTTGCTTTCCTAAAGTCCAACTTTTGACATATCACACATCCTCCTTCTAGCCATATGAATAACTCCATCATATATTATTTTCCTTTCTCCCATTTCAAGTTTGCAACCCAGAGAAGCGAGATTTATCTTTCAAGTTCATTAAGAAAGATGCTAATTTAGATCGCTTTCTATATCTAACATGACATCAAAGAATGGGGATCCAGACACTCCTTTAATTGTTATGATGTCATCATAACAGTTCGTTCTCTTTGCAGAATTATATACGACAGGAATAGAGTAGCATGAAAATAAATAGCGTAACAACAGCAATACAATAGACATTTCTTAGTTTGGTTGCAGAATGGAATCACTATCCTAAGACTGTCTTCTTTTGTCTCCCCATAAATTGAGAGAGAGAGAGAGCACATCAAAGTACCCCATATCCATTCATCAACTTTATTCTATATGACAGTTAAAGCTCAATTATCTCTACTAGCGGCACGATGCTTATTTATCTTATTATAATAATTATGAAATAAAAATAAAACGACTTAACTGTCACAGTTTTTTTTATTATGAATTGCCTAATAATAACTGAATTTGAATAAAAAATTTAATTATAAATAAATCTACAATTAAAAATTTAACTTCAATTTCTATATGTGCGCACGCACACTGCAGAATTTTTGTTTCATAAATTATAATAATTGGTTTTATATGTTACAAATAGCATTATTTCATAATAATCATGATTGTATAAGTTTGTTATCAATTCAAACATTTATTC